TCTAAAAAAATCTGTTGACTTTTTTTTTTATTTTTTAAGTAGTCCTAATCCTCTTCCGTGCTGATTGAAATGTCACTGACACAAAGTTTTACGGCAGCCTGCGGGCTCTGAGAAACAGTAAACTCCTTCTGTGAGCTCAACATGAACAGAACAGCTGGCTGATAGAACCTGCCTTGTTACAAATTAGATCTTATATTTAAAGTGTGCTCACATGGCATTTATTTCAAATTAAAACACACATTAAATACATTATAATCGCAGTTAAGAGTCTGCAGCTTTTTTTTTTTTTTTTTTTTAATCAGCAACCATTAACTGTACTTATTTTGCAACAGTAGATAGATTTTACTGCCTACCTAAGGGATTATTTATATGTCAGCTCAAGGGTTGTTTTTAAAGGCCAGTAGTCCAGCTGAGATTTGGTAATGATTACTGCAGCCTGACTCGTTGCATGAACTTAACTCTGCCACCTGTTAACCGGCCTGATCAGATAAGTCTGAGACAAACAGGCCTCCACATTGAAGCCTGGTTAATTCACCGGCTCCCCATAACTCTGAAAGCTGTTTTATCAGTTTAACACCCAGGGAAATTTAAGTACCTGCTCCCACAGAAGCTGTTGTAGACAAACTTCTCAGCGTGAGCTCCAGAAGTCTCGCTGCGGTGTTGCCAACGGGTGAAATAACGCGCGAGTTCCGTCCGTTCTGATCCGATCCGAGCTGCGCCAAGTCCGAGCGCCGAATCGCTCCAAACTGCGAGGCTGGGCTTATTTAGGTTCGCAAGTTCCAGCCTCATAAGCTAACCACCAACTGCCTTCAGGGAACGGCACGGGTCCCGCGGAGGGATTTAGGTGCTCAGGTTCCGGTTTGTTCCTTCAAAATAAAAGAAGGTGAAGGACAACCAGGTTATTGGAAGAGTTTTGTTTGTTTTTGGAGAATACCCAAACAATTCTATGACCCCTAATATAAAAATACAACAAACAAATCAACGACCCTATACAAACACATATTTCTTCAATGTAAATTTGTTCATACACTTGTATTACATTTTGAATATAATTTTAAAATGCAGTATAATTATTTACTTCATCAGTATATTAATGTATTTTTAATTAATTAATGTAGTGGTTCCTAAAGTTGGGGAAGGGATCCATGGGTGGTTCTAGACAGGGGCCAACGGGGGCCGGTGCCCCTGTAGATTATGAACCTGGCCCCTGTACTGAAGACATAATACTCTAAAAAATTCTAATGATGATACGCGCTGGAACAGACACGGTTACTGATAGGTCCTTTGGGTTTATTTCATTTTTCTTTCTTTACAAATCCTGTTTTACTAATTATTTAAAATAAATAAGGTGATAGATTCTTTGGCATTGGGATAGAATCCCAGTTTTCTTCTGCTTAATGTTTTTTTTTTTTTCAAAACAATTTTCTCTCATTTTTATGACTGAATTTATCAGTTTTTCTTGAGTTCTAATTCAGATTTTCTAGAAAATGGTATTTCTAACTTAAATTAATTCAAAAATATGTTAGATTCCAAAATAATGAATGTAAGACTGTATAATTTTAATGAAACTTACCGGTAACTGAATAGAAATTTCACTTCATAAAGCTCTCTTAATATATTTGAATCTCTTGCCCTGTTTTCTATTTAATGCTTTTCTATGCCCCCATCAAAACACGCTGGCCCCCTCCCGGCCCCCCGGTATAATTGGTCTAGAACCGCCACTGAAGGGATTGTCTTGCTACAATATGATGAGGGTTTTACAATCTTTTTGATGTGATCCCTGAGGAATATGGAGGGCCAGAGTGTGTAATGAAATACACCAATGTGATTGTACCATAAATAATGAAAAAATATACCCAATGAAAAAAGTACATGTAACATTTATCTATTTATCAATACAAGATTCAAATATCAAAAGAATGAAATTGTAAAATGCAGTATTAAATATTTTCACAGTAATTAATCAAAATATGTTCAGACTGATAAATGGAAAAGCATAAACATTGTTTAAAAAGAACTTTATTTTAAAATAAATGTAAATACTTCACTTTTTATGTATAGATAAGTATAGAGTGAAGTAATTACATGCATTTTTAAGGGGTCCCTAGTGTGTTGTTTTGTAATTTTTGGGGTCATAGTCTGAGAATGCACAAATTAATGGGACACTTAATTATTTAATTGAGAATTTTACATCATAATTGTAAATCTAATGTTGTAATCATATATTTAAATAAATAAATAAAAGTAATGAATAATTAAATCTTCCATCTACTTATTTCATATGAAATTTACATGTATATATTCCACGATATTGGCCTTCAGTATACCTCAGGAATCACATAACAATTACCATGACCCCTCAACATACTGTAATAATGAGGTACAGTATGTCAGTATTCTTTAAGTGTAAAAAAATAGTTAAGTAATAATAAATTCATCTATTATGAGCTCTCCATGATTTGATAGGTATTTGTGATAACATGTCTGATATACTGGATGTCCAAGATGTGAATAGTTATGGCGAAGTCTCAATCCACTGCCCAATCAACATACAATGTCAAAATAAGTACCTTGTGGGGTCAAACTTTTCTTCTCTGTTTGTGTTTTTTTCTCAGAGTTAAAATTGATTACATGTTTCAACATCAAAAAAGGACTATTAATAACAAACTTATTAAACTCCAGACAAACACAGTAAGATTCATTATCCACAAATACAGAGAACATGACCTATTAGTGAGCCACTAACCAGAGTCATCCCAAGAACACGTTTATAAGTCATTAGGAGTTCAGGAAATATCCTAGAATAACATTGAAACCTCTGCAGACTTTACTTGCCTCTGTTTAGATCAGTTTTCATGATTTCTTTTCAATAAAGAAAGAGGTTGGGAGCTCTAAAATGGAAACTGCTTTGAAACAAACAAAATAAAATGATAGAAACTACCAAAATAAAAGGCAGTCCTCTGTTAATGATGTTAAGCTTTAGCATATTAGGATGTAATACAAAAATAATCCAAAAACATCAAGTCCACTCTTAAAAACCTAACAAAAAAAGTCAAATAAACCATTTGGAGATAAATAGTAAATATGCAGTTCAGCTTGAAAAGCGTTGGCTCAAAAGCAAATAAATAAATAAATAAATAGATAAAAATAGTTCTAAGAAGAACAAAATTCCTCAACATAACCATTGCCAGCAAGGATGTGCAGCCAGATTTCTTTTTTTCAAACAGGTAGATTTTTAAAACTTTTTTGAAGATTTAGTTTATGTGTCTGTCTTGTTGGAGGGTCGAGGTCCAGGCAGGACACAAGGAAGGCTGCAGGAACCAATCTGACAATGAAAGAGGAACAATCCAACAAAAACAAGAAACCTAACTGAAATACGAGGGAGAAGTGATAAGACTACAGAGAAAACAGAAGATTTAAGCAATTTAACAGAAACATAATGACAGTTGCAGTGACGAATAATTAACGTATTCCAGCATTTACACTCCTTTTTATGTAAGATATAATAAATAAATTAAAATATATATTTTTGTGCTTTCATAATCGTTTTAAAGGTTTTATCAACTGGAAATCGATCTTTTTATGTTAAAACATATGTGTTGGTGTCTGGCCTTTGTTAAAACCTGCTGGATAACCCAGACCATTAAAATGGCTAAGTCATTGACTGGATGCAATCAGTTAGGTTTCCATTTATAGTAAACTTCTTACCAATCTGACTGTGTGACTCTATTAACATGTCTGTAAAATGGCTTAAGATGACTTGTGTTTGGGATTGGCGCCATATGAATAAACCGAATTAGTTGAATTAACATTAGACGGCTTTGCTTTTCCTGCTTCCGTCTATTTCAGAAACCAAAAAGACCCAAAACATGCAGAGTAGTGTGCCTTGAGGTCCAGGGTTGAAAAACACTGGTCTATTCCACCAAACTGGTTAAATCCAACAATCAGGGACTTACTTGCCTGGAGTCTCTCAGTAAGAGTTTCTGCTTGAGTAACTTTTTAAGAGACAAGAAAACAATAGTAAACAAACCATGGCAAACTGCCAATGTTGCTAACACTACATCCACATGAACGTGTATACACGTAAGTCACATTCTGCCATATAGAACAAAAGAGGTATGAATAGGGATCCAAATAAACTCTAATTATATCCCCTGCTCCGAGTAATGATTAAAGATTAATTTAAAAACAATTTCAGAGAGACTGTAAATATGAAATACCAGGTAACTGTTCCTTTATAACCATCACTGTTCGTAAACTATCTCAATCAGTTGTTACATTCATGCTTATTTTTGCACAGTTTCTTTCTTAGTCAGTTAAATAACATGCTGCTGTCATTTTGCACATCTCTAATGTTGCCACTATTTTTAAATGTCCATTACTGTAAAAATGTCCATAGCTGTATATTGGTTATTTATTCTCCAGGTGCATAGTATTTATATTGTTAAAACACTTCCCAGTACAGTATTTTATTGTTTTTCTTTTAATTCTTGTATGTTATTCTTATACACTTTTCTAAGGTCCACATTTGTGTGGCCATTTTTTCTATCATCTTTTTGCTGCTGTACCACCAGAATTTCATAATTGTAGGGCAATAAGGGGAATTTCTATACTGTTCTATTTTATTCTTTATTTTGTATTTTAAAATGTAAATGTTTTTAAAGTATTTTAAACATGAAATAAGAAGATAAATACGCTTTTTTTAAAAGAAAAAGTTTAATAAAGTAGTGTACTCCAGCACTGTGTAGTATGTCCTTTCAGCTGCTTCCTTAACTAGTTAAAATCACTCCTCAGCAGACTTGGCAAAGTTTTTATGTCGAATGCCTTTCATACCACAGCCAGGATTTAAACCCAGGTCCCCGACATGTCAGTCAAAGAATAAACATCAACAAGGGCCTGGATTTAAATCCAGGCGCTTTTTGATTTAAATCCAGGGTCCTTCTAAAGTTTGCATCATATCTGCTCTCTTTAAGTTTTGTTTATTGATTTTTTAAAATATCCATTATCTGACACGCTTGCCCCAATTGGGGTCACAAGGGGTGCTGGTGCTTATCTATAGCTATCTAACCTAAAAGTCATGTTTTTTGACTGTGGGAGGAAGCCAGAGTACCCAGAGAGAACCCACACATGCTCAAGGAGAACATGCAAACTCCATGCAGAAAGACCCCAGGCTGGGAATTGAACCCAGAAGCTTTTTGCTTCAATGCAGCAGTGCTACCCACTGCGCCACTGAGCAGCCTTTTAAATAGAAAAAAGCTACAGTGTCACAAGGCCACATAACTGACTACAGTTATGTGGCCTTGTGAGAGACTCCTTGAAAGGGTCCAACTATACTTGATAAATGACTTCTAGAGGATGGATGGATGAATAGATAGATGGAAAAACAAACGATATAATTGGAATTGAACAGGGGTTAGAAACATTTAAGATTTAGGATTATGAAAAGAAATTAAGACTCAAAGCTTAAAAGGTGTAGCAGGAGAGAAAAAGACAGAAAGAAAGTTAATGAATGAAGTTAAAGGAAAGCAGCCAAGTGGTTTTACACAAAAAACTCGTGTCTTTCTTATATCAAGTAATTTAACATTAAAAAAGTTTTTTAGGTCACTAATTCCTTTGGCTTCTAAATACAATGCCTGATACAATTATTGGCATAGCTGGTAAAACTGTGGAAAAAGCTTTTCCAGTTAATCACTTCCTGACTTTAATATTACACACTTTGCAGCATTTCTCTGAAGCACATTTAAATACCACCTTTGGTTCCATCTCACTTTGAACTGTGGGAGGTTAAAACA